GGAAACAGATAAGATAACTGTATTTAATGAATATAAATGTGCTCAGATCTGACATCAGGGACCTGGCAAGCGGTCTTCTTTCTCTCAAGTTCCTGGATGACTTCTCTGGATCTGGAAGTCCCATGACATCTCACATCCAGGGCCTGCTTTCTGTTTTGTTCCGCTCCTTCTATAGGTCCTTCCTGCCCCTCTTCCCCTGTGCATCCCAGAGAAGGCGGAAAGTAGGTTTTTGCTATTTTACTTGTGTTCAGTCTATCAGAGCCTCAGTGTGGAGCAAGATGCAAATGACTACAGTATAAGGAATTTCTATGGGTAATGGTGATCACGAATGGAGGGGGACTGATTTTCTCCGTCCAGAGCCAGTTTTTGTGGTGCTTCATTGTTCTTCCCTGTGATGTGTAGTGTTCCGGGCTGGCAATATGCTGTGAACAAAGACAATTGTACTCTGTGGTCTCTTTTCAATGTGCTGTGACTTGGCAAGGGCTGAAGGCAAATCATGCACCTGCGTAACCTTTTTAGCTTGACAAAGAATGGCGTCCCTCTCCCACTCTCCCTCCCTACACAGGAAATGCTCCCAGACGACAGCGCAAACAAGCCCTAATTAAGTCTTTCCACCAACCTTTTCTTGGGTTTAGATGTGTAATTAAGTGGGAGAAACTGAATCAGGTATGAGATGCAGCTGGAAACTGGGAGTACCTAATGGCAAGAAAAGACTAGAACCTCTGCCCTGGTGGTTCTTCGGACAGGGTAAGCAGGGCAAGAGACATGGTAAACTGATGGGGGAATTCAGATGCTTTTGATGGAAAAGTTGGTTGCAATTGTATGAGAACATTTTCTCAAGCCTTTTGAGTTTCTTGTGTTTTTGCCTTTTTGTCTCTGAGTAAGAGAATTTCAATGTTTCTTAGCCAATATTTAAAGATAATATGTGTAAGGTGCCTGCTGCTACCCTAGGAAGGCTGTGAATACATCCTTATAATTATATACAAAATTTGGGGTTTTGTGTACTTATCTGAAAGGAGAGTTCCATATATTTTATCATGTTCCCCAGGGTTCAAGACTTGCTCTCCTCCCCCTGCCCTGGTATTAGAAAAGAGAAGAATCTAGTCCTGGCTGGTGTGGCTCAGCGGATTGAGTGCTGGCCTGCAAACCAAAGCATTGCCGGTTTGAGTCCCTATCAGGGCACATACCTCGGTTGTGGGCCAGCTCCCCAGTAGGGGGCGCACAAGAGGCAACCACAAATTGATGTTTTTTCCCTTCTCTTTTCCCCTTCTCTAAAAATAAATAAATATAATTTAAGAAAAGAAAGAAAAGAGAAGGATCTACAGACAGGAACTGGAAGGGCAGCGACGTTTGGAATAAAGAGAGGGTGGAGCCTATAAAAGAGAAGGATGGAGCCCCGAGGCAGCCCAGTGAGAGGCAGTAGGTGGTTAAGCATGTGCACTCTGGAGTCAGATACTTCCGATCTCAGAGCCCAGTGTCTTCATTTATTAGCTGTGCTGGCTGTGTGGTCTGGGCACTTCATATCTCCAAGCCTGAATCTTCAGTTTTCTCACCTGTAACATGGGACGATAGAACATAAAATTGTTGCAAGGATTAAGGTTATGCATGTAGCATTTCTCCCTGCCTCCTTGTTGATGTGTGTGTGTGTGTAGTCTGACTCTATGTGTATTTTGCATTTTCCTGTTCATTTTTAGCCTCATTCTAGGCCAAGCATCCTGTGCAGTTGTCAGAAGGCTCTGAGTTCTGTTCTGCTATTTGTTTTTTTCTTTTTTGCTGTCTTGTAAAAATAGTGAATGTGAGGAGGGTGTCCTTGACTGAATATACTACTTCCAGCTCACCCAGCACCAGCTTGCTGGCCAGGCTGAGAGCAGTGTATTTGCACTTAGCCCTGTAGGGAGTAGTACACTACTACTCCCAAGCAGTGGAGGGAGAAGTAGAAGCTAGGAACCTGGAGCCTGGAGCCCAGTGAGCCAGCCTCCTTTGGGAAGGGGAGGCAAATCAGCCCTGGGAGGGGAGAGCCTGTTTATTGCAGCACTGCAGATGGCTGCCACCTCCGGCAGCTTCAGAGACTGCTTCTGTGGCCTGGTTTCTTTTGTAATTTGCACAATAGACCAGAAGATGGGGCTCTTGACCCTGGAGTCAAGGGCCAGAGGTTCTGACTTGATCTACATTTGAACTGGAGGGAAATCAGACCCATCAGAGCTCCCGAGGAATCAATCCTCTGTCTCCTGAGTTCTCATCCTACTTTGCTCACTCAAGACCACTTTCATGGCTGGGAGCTGTCCTTCTAAGAAGGGAGGAAATGTGGGTGTATCTTTCCTTTGGTCCCCATCTTTGGCCCCTTCTGAATTACCACGTTGCTAGAGCTAGTCTAATTGACCCCCTGCCTTAGGTTTCTGCCTCTAATTGGCTTGCCCTAATGTCAGATTTCGGCAATGAAACCAGTTACGTGGGACATGTTGTGCACTGGTCAAGAACTGTAGAATCAGGCAGATTTGTCCTTCACCCATCTCATCAGCAGAAGCTCTCCTCACCTCCTCAGAGAAGCCCTCCCTGACCACCCCATTTAAAGTAGCTCCTCCCAACCCCCACGTCAGCTACTCTCTATCATATAACCCTGTTACTTACCTTATAGAAGCAATCATAACCTGTAATTATCTTGTTTGTTTACTTGTTTTTTGTCTCTGCACTAGACTGTAATGCTCAAGAGGGCAAGACCCTATTTGTCCTATTGCTGTTTCTCCAACACCCAGCACAGGGCTAAATACATAGATTATTAGTAAATATGTTTTTAATTAATAAATGACTGAATCTCAGCTTAATGATTTTCTAACCTAGAGAAAGCTGGTAAACTTCTCTGAGTCTCAGTTTTTTCTTCTTTTCTAAAGATTTTATTTATTTTTAGAGGGGAAGTGAGGGAGAAAGAGGGAAGAGGGAGAGAAACATCAGTGTGTGGTTGCCCCTCAAGCGCCCCCTACTGGGAACCTGGCCTGCAACCCAGGCATGTGCCCTGACTGGGAATTGAACCTGCAACTCTTTACTTCGAAGTCTGGCTCTCAATCCACTGTGCCACACCAGCTAGGGCTGAGTCTCAGTCTTCTTACCAGTGAAACGGAGAAATAATGGAGATGCTATGAATATTAAATGACACAATGTACTTACACAATTAAACCTGGGCCCTGGTGCAGGGAAGTGTTCTCTAAAACCTTTAGCTGTGTTCTACTTTCTATCATGTGAGAAAATAAAGTCTGAACTAATTAGCCAGCTCCCCATTATATGGCCATAGCTTTTCTTGACCACAATTTTTGCTTCCTACTGCTTTCTATCACTTTCCACTTTGGTTCAAATCACTGTTACCCTGAACAGGCTATGTGCATTCCTATTCTTAAGTCTTTGCCCAAGAATGAAGATGCTGGCCCTTTTTGCCTTGGCTCTACTTTTTAGATTTAGCTCAAGTCCATGTCCTCTGTGTCATATTTCTAAAGTGCCCCAAGTCATAAGGACCATGTTCTCTTTTGAATTTTTCTAATCTTTGTTGTTTATATTACTCATATGGTTCTTATTCTATGTTCTATTAGCTTGTCTTGTGTTAACATAAGTATATCCTGTTTCCCTCATTAAATTTTAAGCCTCATGGAGATATGCGTTATATTTCAGACTTCTCGGCATGTTCAGTGCCATGCAGGCCTGTACACAATAGGTATAAAAACATTTATTTGCTAACTACTTTCTATGTGCCCAGCATTTTTTTGAAGCTCCGTGGAGTATTTGGAAGGGCATAAGAAAAATAGCCATTGCCTTCAAATATTTACAATATTAGAGTAAGTTAAAATCAACATATAATCAAAGTAGTTAAATATCCACAGCATGGTGACTGCTTCTTGGAAGAGGTGGCCTTTGAGATGGACTCTGAGGAAAGGTTAAGGTTTGAATGGAAAAAGATGAGGTGAATGCCGGATTCAAGAGACAAGAGTCTCCTGAAGTGATGAGATGTGAAGAGATGGATAGAGACTGTGGCGATTAACGGTCAAACTCAGAAATGAAACCAGAGGTTTATGTAGGAGATTGGAAATATAGTTCTGCTTCAATTACACTTCACATTTCAGAGCCAATGGAAGAAATGGTATGCAGAGTGGAAACTTTAACATGTACATAACTATGGTCCTCAAGTGTAACCTGTGGATTGAGAGTGATTTGCAGGAGTTCTTTTTGCTCTAATGTGACTCACCTACAGTCTGCTGTGATAGAATTAATACGTACGAAGGAAAAGGCCCCTTTCCTCCTCTTGGGGACAGAGGATTGGTTGGACTATGGTCAGTCTCTTTTCTTTAAAACCCAAATCGAATTGAATGTGTTATTCACGACTTTCTAAACTTGTCTTAAATCAGTAGTTCTTGTTATTAAATAATAATTTGCCTTACATTATTTTTCAGAAAAGTTGGCAGCATTTTTGTAGTTACTTCAACAGTCATCCTTAGTTCACCTCTGTGCTTGTTGCTGCCAATCTGAGACCCAGGGAGGTGACCTAAGTCGCAGTGAGTTTGTGGAGTGGGTAGGATCTCTGTTTGTCTGCTTATCTTTAATGTTATTTAATCTGGCTGCTAGCTCAGAGATTAACAAGCAATCTTAGAAGGCCATTTCCTTTCACCCTCAATTACTTCCTTCTGCAATCCAAAAGGCACATTTCCCAGAATTAAAAAATCATTATCTAAGGAATAAAATTAGAATAGACAAAACCAGCACTTTCCCAGTTTTGAAAGTTCAGGGTTAGCTGCAAACAAGAACGAGATTTTGTTTCTAGCTAGCAGTTGGACCGACCCTCTAGCCCAGGGGCCCCCGAAGGGAGGGAGGCGGTTTCCACGGCAACCTGGGCTCCTCCGGCTGCTCCCTCCTCCTCCTGGTAGCCCAGGGTACCGCCGGACAGCGTCCTCTTGTGCTCTGTGCCCTGATTGGCTGCACCGGCCGCGCGCTGATTGGCGGCGCCGGTGCCTCGCGGGCCGGTGGCTATGGAGGCTGTGGCGGTTGATGGTTGACCGTCTGCTCCAGGGTAGGGGTCGCAGTTCGGGCGATCCGCTCAGACTCGACCATCGTGCACTGACACTCGACCTGGAGCCCGCGGGCGAGACCGTGCTCGGCTCCGCCATGCCGGCCGGGAGTAACGAGCCGGACGGTGTCCTCCGCTATCAGGTAGGGCCCGCCTCCCGCCCCTCCCCAGGGCTCACCCTCCTCCATCCTCTGTCCCTATTCCTGCCTCTGCCTCCAAGCTGGGCTCTCAGGCCACTCTCTAAGGGCAAGGGGAGGCCATCCCGGGACACCAGGTGGCGCTCCGGGAGGTTGGGGAATCGGGCAGGGGCTGCGAGAGGGTGACCTTGGGCCGAACCGGGAGCTGCCTCTCACTGCCGCATCCCTTGCGTGGCTGGCGGTGACCTCTGTTCTCTTCGGGTCCTCCCGGTTGGGAGAGAGGCTGGCTTCTGGGCCTCGCCGTGTAGTGCCGGGACATGGGAGAAAGGGTGGCCATACTCTGGTGGAGCAGGTCTCCTCTTTGTGTTATTTTTGGGGGGGTTCAGGAAGAGCTGGAACGACTGGAGGCTGGGTCCAAACCCTGTTACTATGCCCAGCTTTATGTCTCCCTCCACTCCATTGCTCAAACATCTGACGAGTTCTGGATGGGGAAGCAGGAATGGACTAGGGAAGTTGAGGAGCTAGGAATAGTGTTTAAGAGAATGACAAAACCAGGTTTAAGTAACTGATAACCCAACTGTTGGGCTAATGTAAGTAAAAGCACTGAACTAGGTGTCAGAGTCTGTAGGTTCAAATCTACGTCTACCTCACACAGGCTTTGTGACCTTGAGTAAGTCACTTGCCCCTTTTAACCTCAGTTCTCCATCTAGTAAAATGGGAACAATAATATCTGCTTCCCTTACCTTAACAGGGTTGGTTTGAGGGCAAAATGGGGTGCTATTTGTGAAAACGCTTTGTGAAATAATGTTTAATGTGTGACAACCAGTGAGTGAGTGAGTGGTACCTCACTGAATTCTCTACCCCACCCCCTTTTCCTGTGCAATCAAGTGATATAGTTACTGGTCTGGAAAGGGGGATTGATTGAAGACGGGGTTCAAGTCTGAAGTGGAGGGCTCTGAAGAGAATGATGGACCTTCTTGGGAAGGACGATGGGTCTTGGAAGCAAGTGCCACATTGACGTCAGGGGTGGTTTCTGTAAGGAGGCAGGGAAAACACTCTTGAGTTTGTAGCAGAATGGGTATCGGACACTGACTCTTCTTCCTGGTAGTAGTTTGCTACCAGAAGATCCACAATTTCTTTGCTTGCTCCATCAAAAAAGGAACCATAGCTAAGATTTTGGAAAATTCATATCTAATATTGTTAAGGCCTACTAAATGTATTCACTATATCTTTGGAATACAGTGATGAGTAAAAACAGGCGATGTCCTTGCCCTCTGGAGCTTCCTGTCGTGTGTGTGTGTGTGTGGGGGGGCTGGAGAAATAACCACACAAGTAAATGTATTATCATAAACTGTGATAAGTGCTTTGAAAGAAAAATAGACAATATGTGGACAGAGATTTAAATTTGTGTCACCTAAGGGAGCTCAGGGCTTTGGAAACAAAGGGGACACCATATGGGAAAGCCCTGTGGTAGAAGGGGGTACACTGGGCTAAGACCTGAAAGAGGTGCAGTGTGTCTAGAGCCAGAGGAAAACAAGGGAAGTGGTGTGAGGTGTACTCTGCCGTTGTAATTAATACAGGGTCACTGGAGTCCATGATGAGGAAGTTAGTATTTTTCTGGGGAACAAGGGGAAGCCACTGGAAGAAGCACGGAGCAAAAGAAGAGAGAGGTAGAGAGAGAGACAATGAGCCAGAGAGAGGAGAGCCAAGGAGATCATGATCAGACTTTTTCCTACTGAGAAGACTTCTCTGGCTGCAGTGCAGGAACAGGCTGGATGAGTGTGAGGCGACTGTGACTTTAATGTGCAGACTGTGCAGACTGTGTACAGGTCGTATTGTCAGGGTCATACCAACCCCGTGGCTGCTGTTAGTATTCTGTGAAGCCGATAATTCCAGAGTGCTTCCAGGATAGGAGAGAGAATAATGGCTTCTTTGATATTTAGTTCATGAAACTTTCATGGATGCTGGGATGAGGAGAAGAAAAGGAATAGAGTGGGAAGTAGGACCTCTTGAAGCCAGAGTGAAGGGATGGACACATGGGGATGTGGATACAGAGAGAAAAAAAAATGAGGGGAGGAGGAAAGAAAATTGGGCTGACTTGTGGGAGACACAGTTAACCGACTAAACATTACCAGTTAAGCCTCCTGTGTGCCAAGTAGGCCGTGTGGAAGGGAGACAAACCTTGCAAAACGAGAAGATTGTATAACTTATGTAAACAGAGAGATTCCAGACATCATGTCTAAATATCATGAGTCTGTGAGTTTTCTCCTGTTCGGACTACTGCACCAGCCTTCTAACATTCCCTCTGCCTTCACTCTTGCATTTCTAAATACTTTACGTATGGCAGCCAGAGGGAGCTTTTAAAAACACAAATCAGATTATGTCATATCTTATCTTGAAACCCTTTAGTAGGTTCCCAGTGCATTTTAGAATAAAATCCAAACCCTTATCATGGCCTACTGAGTTTTAACGTGATCAAGTCCTTGACCACACTCCCTGACCGCCTTTCCTCCACTCTCACCACGTGACCCTACCCTGGCTTTCTGTTGCTTCAATTTGGTGAGTTCCTTCATGCTTTAGGACCTTTGTTCTTACTCTTCACTCTGCCTAGGACATCTTGCTGTCTTGGCCTTCTCATGACTCAAGTGTCACCTCCTCAGAGTGGCTTTCCTTGACCTTTACTATGGGGAGGGCTCTGCCCACAGGTCATCCCCCCCACCAGCCGCCATGGCTGAGACTAAGTCTACCAAGTCATGTTCTGATGTTCTTCTTGGGGAGGAAAGATGGTTGATCTCTCAGAGGAGAAGGGCCAAGAGCCTTTTCCTCAATGGGAATTTATTAGGTTCATTTTGCAGAGGATATACAGGTAAAGCACATTAATCATTCTCAGGCAAAACGGATCAAACAATAGATAACAAAGAACCTTGAGGGCCTATTTTGAGTCAGGGTCAGATAGCTAAAGAGCTATAAAACTTTGTGGAACAAACTCACTTCTTGCTAGGACCCTTATTTAATTGAGAGCACTCTAATCAAAGCAGGTCTCCCAGGATTTTCATATCCTTTCTTAGGCCTGATTGCCCTAGGGAACCCGCCCTTTCCAGCATAGGGCGGTACCCACCACCAGCATTGTTTCAGGTTTAAGGCATTGTTTCAGGCTTAAGTCAAGCAGGGGTAGTAAGGCAGCCAAGAGATTAGGAGTCTTCTTGCAGACAGAATTAGGAGACTCAGGCTATGTCATAGCCAAGGGGTGGGGGTCCATTACCCCCTTTTGCTGTAGCCTCCCAAGTCCTTCCTTGGGGCCTCCACATGATCATACCTGTCTTAGGTCATCCCCCACTTAGGGAATCTTACCCATCTTTGGCTAACCAAGCAAGCATCGGGGGGCCAGTTATGGATGAATTAAAAGGAGCAGAAGCAGTGCCCCTGCCAGGGAGATAAGCCTTGTCTCCTTAGTGGCTTGGGGTCTAAAGGTTACTCACTCAGCCTTAGCCCTGGAGAGGTTACAGCTTCTGAAACCAGGTAGGGTGGTTCCCAACACTTTACCCCCAATTACTCCCTTTCATATGATCCTGTTTTATTTTCTTAAGAGCTCATGTAATTTATCTGAAGTGTTCTTATTTTGATTTCTTGTGTATTTTCCAATAGAAGCCTCATAAGGGCATGGACCGGCCACAAAGTATTTTCATCTCGCACAGTGCAAGGTGTAATACAGGTGCTCGGTTGCCTGAGGAAATGAATGATTTTCCCAAAGCCAAAGCCAAAGTCCTCTCTTCTGGGAGCGCCCGACCTTGTCAGGATTAGCACAGGACAAAAGACAGCTATTGCTCAAAAAGCTGTCTCTTCTGTGCTAGCTTAGCTCAGGTGTTCTCTGGAAAAATCTTTCCTCTCTTTTCCAAATTATCCCATTTGAACCTTCAAGATCTGACTTCATATCACCATCAGAATTTGTCACTGTCTTCTCTGCCCATGACATTCACCAAGATCTGTTACTTCTCCCACCCCTTACTTATGGAATATACGTGTTCATCCCTCCTGATAACCTGACAGCTCCTTTTGATGTTGTTATGTGAGCTTTTATTGGTGCTTGCCAAGTGCTGGGCACTGTGGTAAGTGCTTTCAATGCATTTTTCCCTTTAAGTCTCTCAATAACCTTGGGAGTTGCATGCCCTTATCCTTATTTTTCAATGTAGAAACCAAGATACGGAGAGGTAAAGTATCTTTTTTCTAATAAGTGGCAGGGCTGCCTGCCCCTCTTTCAAGGATGTGCCCTTAACACTCTATATTGCTGTAGCTTTTGTCTTTGATTCCTAGACCAGTGCCTGGCTCAGAGTGAGCACTTAGTGTTTGGGAAATATGTGTGGCAAGGTGTGCAAAGGATATATTAGAGTGGGAAGAGACAGGAGGAAGGGGGCCAGCTGGGAGGCTGTAATTCAGGATAAGTCGATGAAGGTCTGACTTGTTGAATTTTGATGAGGTCTCCAGAGGTGATTATTGAAATTTTAGGAGTCAGAGAGCTCATAAAGGGGGTGGTAATGAAGAAAGATCAGAAAGCTTTAAGGGAAAGCCCCTAGTTTGGATTGGAACTGGGGATATCTTCAAAGTTCTCCTGATGAGCACTTTCAGAACTGACCAGGAAGAAGTGCTGGAGAAGGAGGCTGGAGTCGGCAGCACCATCCTCCCTGAGTCAGGTGGTGCTGGGATCCCCAGGGAGGTTCAGGGAGGGTGGCAGTGGAGGAGTGGAGAGCAAGTGAATTTGGGCAATTACCAAGGCTTTTATGTGAATGAGGCTTGCTCAGAATGGAACATTTTGCAGAAATCTTCAGAGTTAACAACTCTGGTAAGTGAGCGATAATTGGGAAGCGTGGCCAGAGGGGAAGAGAGTCACACATACGCCTTAAGGTGGGCCCGAGAAAACCCTGAGACAGGAGTTCCTGAAGGAGACCTGACTGCTTGTGCCCAGTGACTGTGGCAGTTGTTGGAGCTCAGTAAATACTATCTGAATGAAT